CATCCAACCCCCCTGGTAAAATAGAAAGTTATAGATCGATTCATCTGAAACTTGATTTGAGGTCATGGCTGGTTCCCCTGAACATCCATATGACCACAGGAACTGGTAGATGTACGTTATTAAAATACTACCTGGCTCCTGGGTAGGGAGGAGGTCGTTGAGGGGTATATATTCATGACAAAACCGGTTGATTTTCAAAATCATGAGAATTAAATTCAAAATAATCGTGAGTGTAGACATCCAATCAAGCAAATTCATGTGGAATGAATATAGCCTCAAAAAATTGCTACAAACCTGGTAAAAATCAACTGTTGTTGCTCTGATTGGTGGTGGTTTAGGAGGTCCCATAGTGGTGTAATATAGCACAGAAGATGTTGTCTGAATTTCACATGGCTGATCACCATGTAATAAGGTGTAATTTGCAATTACATAGATTCTGAGAAAAATGGAAAAATAATTATTAAAATAATGGAAAAATAAACTAGCGGTTGCCAAGCAAGATACGCCCACATTTTGGAAGAGATGGACAGAGAACAATCTAACTAAAGCATCGGTACCGCTGCAATATACATTCCTGCTTTGATTGATACGCGATACATTTTAAAATGAAGAGAATGAAATATGAAATGGCTGCAATAACTGTAATATGACAAGAAGCAAAGAAGGCTTGTGGGTTTGTTTTGCCAAATTTTGTTTTGAGTAAATATTAACAAACAAGTGGTTGCCAAGCAAGATACGCCCACATTTTGCTAAAGATGGACAGAGAACGAGCTAAAAAAATAATGTGATTTCTTGTACAATCAGGGGCCATAATCCAAGAAGATATGGTCCGATATGCGTGAATATCAAAAGGCACCAAGATCTTTGGGTTATGAACATACATTTCAAGTTTCATCAAAATTGGATAAAAATTGTGACCTCTGGAGGGTCCACAACCTTCGTATTACATACTTTTACACAATTTCATTTCAGGGATACACCACGAGGGGCCATAATCCAGGAAGTTACCTTCTGATTATCAAAAGGAACCAAGATCTTAGTGTGTAACGGTGATATATTCACACGTTTATTTTTAAATCAGATAAAAATTGTGACATCTAAATTTTGTACAATCCAGGGCCATAAATCAGGAAGTTACGGTCCAAAATGCGCAAATGTGGCCATTTTGTCCGGTAGTTTTGGACCGATTTTCATGAAATTCGAACTCAACCTTTATTAAGGTGTAACGGTGACAAAATCAAACGGTGTTTAAAATCGAATAATAATTGTGACCTCCAAAGGGACCACAAGCATAAAAATAGGCGATTTTTCGAAGAATCAGGGGCCATTATTCAGGAAGTTTCCATCTGATATGCGCAAATATCGAAAGGAACCAAGATCTCTGGGTTATCAACATGTATTTCAAGTTTAATCAAAATAGGATCAAAATTGGGACCTCTAGAGGGTCCACAACCTTGATATACCAGATGTGTACACTATTTGTGTACGAGGGGCGGCCATTTTGTCTGGTAGATTTGGTCCGATTTTCATGAAATGTGAACTCTTCCAACATTACGGTGTAACGGTGATATATTCAAACGTTTTTTTAAATTGGATAAAAATTGTGACCTCTAGAGGGACCACAAGCTTAAAACACGATTTTTCGTACAATCAGGGGTCATAATTCAGGAAGTTACGATCTGATGTGTGCAATCTTACTTAACCAGACAGTTACAAATATATTAAGGACTTTGGTTACACGTGTGTGTGTGTTTGATTACTACTACAGATAGAGGACATTTTGGTTCTTTTATTATAAACTGTGGACGTTATCTGTCCTCGATTGGTGGGGCTGATGTCAGATGGCAATAAACACATTTACATTAAACATCGGTCCCACTAATCAAGGACATTATTTAACAAATGGTTGGATTGGTCTGTTATCGACTTTCTGTGTAACAATATCAAGATCAGACTGGCAATAATATAGTTGAAATTTAAAAAAAAACAGTGTTTCAAAAAAGACCACCTCCAGACATTTTCAGTGGTGGTGTATCCTTGCCGGGCTGGGTGATTTGCAATTTATCCACTACTAACCAATAATAACTAAATACTACCTCATTATTGTGGGAAAACTAACATAATACTTCAATTATGTTGGGTAGTATTTGGTAAACGTCCTGCCGTCCCATCCAAACGTTCCTATTTCCCAACACCAAAGGCTATGCAAGATGAGCCCATTATTACTTATCGGCCGAAACTTGTTGCAAAATGCTCAACATTTTCAATAGCGGGGTATCCTAGCCAGAAATCTAATTGCTCCACCATAAAAGCTACATTACTACATGACTAATGTATAAAATGTATTGGTGTCAGTCATTTTAATACAGAGATCATTGCTACAGGAGATGTGTAACAAACACTTGAATATACGGAAGTGATCTCTGTGTTAAAATTATTTGGAATGTATTTAACTAGTTCTATCACATATGTAATAACAACTGACACCAATATTGTCCTTTAATATTGCAGAATCACTTTGAATCCACAGATTAAACACTACGGTCTAGTGGTTTAAATGAACTTCCAGTGTATTTTAATACTTACAAGTCTACACCTTTTCTATTATTCCTATTTTAACTATGACATCATTTATCTATATTTAGCTTATTCTTTATATGTCACACAGAGTGGCGACTTGCATTACGGCCAAAAGAAACACTGTGACGCGCAATGCATCTTGGGAATTGTCTGTAATAAACACACACTGACAGTTTGCTCAACGACGTTACGATATCTCTATATCGATGAACTAAATCTCTTTAATTTCTTGGTTTTATAGTATTTTCGGTAACAAAACTACTGAGAATTATCATATACAATCATAATATGTTAGTTGTTTGTGTGTTTCGGGAATTTATAAAACATGATTCATATTTTTAAAACACGAATAAAGCGTGGTACGGCCCAGAATGAAAGAACTTAAGAAGTGAGACCGAGACGAGAGACGCCATTTGTGATGGTTTACGAATTGGTCTATTTAAGGCCGTAAATTATTGTCGATTTTTAAGAGGTTTTATTAACTTTGAAACTATTCTACCAAATATTTGTTGTTTCAATTTCTAGATTTGAAATGTAATTTCCATACACCTTAAAATGGGCCATTTGAAAATGTCAAAGTACCACGCCCTTTTTTGGATAAGGCCTATTTTACTCAGTAAGCTTTCATTAAAATATAAAATAATAATTTAAGAATATTAAAATTGAATTTCAAATAGGCATATAATGTTTTCCAATAAACAGATTTGAGCCGTTGGTTGTTTTCCAAGATAAAATACCTTTAGCTCCAATGTTGACTCACCGTGTGCTTTTATGATTTTTGTTCTATTAATTAATATAGGCTTTCATTTTTAAAAAATAAAATAATTAAAGATATTAAAATTCTATTTAAATAGGCCTATAAAATTTTTCAATAAACATTATGAGTTGATTGGTTTCTCTTTTTACAAACAAGTATAAACCAAAAACAACTTGAGAATGAATATTTTGCATATTGCTCTTGGTGTCATGTAATGTTTTGACAGCCTTTATAGGCCCCCTAATGAAATTGTCCATTTTAAACTACTGCACAAGAATATATTAAATTATTATAAATCTGAAGTTTGCTCTAGATATCCATGCCATTAGGTCTGATCTGTGTTTAGAGTTACTTTTATTTTTGTGATTTTTTTTGTCAACTGATTATTTAGAAATAGAAAATTTAATTTATACTGTGTACTATTATGGAATTATCTGCCATACAAACTGATTAAGTTAACCATACAGCATACTGATACTATATAGATAATCACAGAGTAAATTAAAATTATTTTGAATTACTGAATGATTTAAAATTAGTGATATTTTATTGGTCGGATTAAGGCCTACCAGTTAAAGGGGAAATGTGATTTTGAATAGCATAACAGTATTAGGCTTACTGTTTTATTAAAAGCTTATTGCAACTGAAAATTGAGCAAAATAATATTTTTGTTATAAAATTTGGAAAGGTATATAACGTATAAATAAACTTAACACTTAAATTGTTTACCACAAGTAATTGTAGGCCTACATAGATTCACATTTTGCGATACACAATCTTAGAAAAAATTAGGCTTGTCCATTATCCTTTTGCCAGAATACAACAGATTCTTCAAAAATAGTTAGTTCCCTCGCACATGATTCTTTTTCAATTGCTTTTAATAACATATGAATCTAAATTTATTTTATTTGTTTTTACAAAAAATATAGAATGTAAAAAGAACATGTGCAACTACAGACATTAATAGCACATTGATTTGATTTGATTTAAGTTAGAGCGAGAGGTCATATTATCATAGTCATAAGATAAAGACGTATAGAGATCTACTTCTTCTAGGCCAACAGTACTCTACATTGGAATATATCATAATATGCAATATAATGCCAATTAAGCCCAACTAATCAAATATGAAAACATCTTTCACCAAATATGTAATCTTACAAAATAAATTTTTTGATGATATATATTGCTGTTCTTATAATCTATTAGATCTATGTTAGTATGGCTCAGTATTTATTATATATTTATAGCATTAGGCTGACTAGGCCTAGCACTCGGCGATGACTCGTATCGACATCGTACTCGTAGCAGACGACGCGACGTAGACTTAGCTCTTTTTCTTCAGGAATGCTGAATTTTTTGAATTCCTCAATAGTCCCTAAAATTAAAACACCCTAGCATAGGACCTACTCTGGGTACTATATCCACCACTCGGATGTTTACATTTTCTTCTGTTCAACTGCGAAACGTCTCTTTACCCGCCATGTTTAGTGACATTACAGACAAAACCCAAGATGCAGTGCACGACCTACTTTTTATGCAAATGAAGCAGTCTCCACTCTGTGTATTTTTACTCTGTGTATGTCATCAAAGTTATGATGTCATTAACATCATGACATCACTGATTACTATGACTTCCATGGGGCTTCAAATTTCATTTTTATGTAACAGGGTCATATTTTGGGACTCTGTCAATTAATGTTGGTGAAGAATGTCCTGATCAGTGTCTTGATTGTTGGAAGTTTTTAATAAGTGAGTTTATAGTTTTGGTTGTGAGATAATGTAAATTCATTAAAATGTTTTGGGGGATGGATTTTCAGTTGTATGGGTCTGGAATTGTATTGTCCGGATTATGGTGTTTTATTTTAGTGGTTGAAATGTCTTAGTTCTTATATGGGTTTACTTTTAATATTTTTTGGTATAGTTGAAAGGATAACTCGTTGGACTCTTTATAGTTCTGAAGGTGGTCTCTTTCTGAAATATTGTTTATCAGGTGATTAGTAATTCTTTGTCCTGGTTGGTTATTCAGAAGTTTAGCTGGGATAAAACTAAATTACACGCATGCATCAGTACCACATGTTACAGATTTAGTGAAGGTCAATACCGGCTCTTTTCCACAAATGGGTAAGCTATTTAATTTAACTTTCTTGTAATAGATGACTGCAAGTGGACTGTGAGTTTCATGAGTGTTTGATATATAATTATATATGTAATTCAAATACTGTAAGGTAAAAATTGTAGGATGTGTAGCCAATAGAACTGTTGGTTACGAATATATGGATAATGGCAACTATTGTATTTTCAGGGCCAACTTGTCGAGCATAAATGTATTTTGTGTTATAGTTATGTGTAGTACCAACAGAAATGGTGTTTAATGGTTATGGTGAATTGAAATACATCTAGATCGACCAACATCGACTACGCGCTTACGCGTTTCATTTAATTGTTTTAAACTGTATCATGTGTCGTTTGTGGATTATATAAACTTATTTAAACCTTATCGTGTTGTCAATCAAGAAATCTATTTTCCCGAACTAAGCAGGTTCAATCTATCAACTTTACCACACCATTGCAGGTGATGGAAAGGGTAGGTCTGCAATAATGGAGGCACCAGGGGGAGTAGATTTTCTTGGTTGTACCAGTAACAAGTTGAACTGTTTAGTTTTCAATTAACTTATCGTTAGACTTTAAAGTGAATCCGATGGCGTTTAATTACTGACATTCAAATTTATATGCACATTATCATCAAGCTTGAATTCTCGTGACTTTGTGACAGTGTTTAACCACTGGAACTGAAATTATAACAGATTCTGGATGAAGATTGGAACTGTGTAACAGTGAATATTGAACATTAATATTATGAACTATTGATTAATTTAGTGTTAATTTGATTAATTTAGTGTTAATTTGTTTGTTTTCATTTATTTTTAGTGTCGGTAAACCTGGTATGTATGGTTGTAAGTATGGATGTTGACAGCACTAATAAATAAATAGGTCAAGTTTAAATAAGTTAGGGCATAAAATTCCGTAACTATTGATAATCTTAGAACATCATTCAATACACATTGCATTATACTAAAATATATAACAGTTATCCCAGTAACACTATAACTTGTATTGTCTTTATTTTATCAACAGTGGAGTTTTTTTTATGTAGAGTTTAGAGTAGTTTGGTCAGTTGATTGGTTTGAATATGTCGGAGGAAGAAGTTGTGGTCTTGGGTAACACACTAAGAAAGTTGGGTCTTTTTCCAAAGCGTATAGGTAAGACTGAAGATGACGTTGCTGAGTGGATGGAAGATGTTTTGAAATCTAAAGGTAAGTGGCCGGTTAAATCGGATGATGAAACAGAGTCGTCTACTAAATCAAGACCACCAGTTAATCCGATGCCGAAGTTGTCAATGTTTTATGGTGAACCAGGAAAAGGTGAAGTTAGTTACGACCTTTGGAGATACGAAGTAGATTGTTTAATTTCAGAAGGTGTATATGATAACCATGTAATACTGTTGGCTATTCGCCGATCACTTAAAGGGGAGGCCGGTAAGGTTATAATGCGGTTAGGTCCGCATGTTGATGTTAAAACTGTCTTAGCCAAATTGCATAGTGTTTACGGTACATGTGAAGAAGCAGAATCTTTAATCGGACTCTTTTACAGTGCTAAACAATATCCATCTGAAACGGTTACAGATTGGGCATGCCGGTTAGAAGATATATTCGCAAGAGTAACTCGAGAGGGTAGTCCAGATCCTAAAGAATCCGATGAGACATTAAGGAATGTATTTTGGCGTGGATTGTTGCCACACTTACGTGATTTGTCTGCTCACAAATATGATAAATCAACAAGTTTCGACACACTACGTGTTCAACTTCGCCGTATAGAGCATGATGTTAACCAACGAAACTTATCAGCGAGTACCGCTACTTCGAAGCCAAATCCTTTTAACATGATACATACAAAGTCTTCTAATTCTGAATTTCAGGAACTTAAAGGGATAGTTCACAGTATTTCTTCACAAGTTAGTGGATTGAAGGATCAAGTTTCGCAATTAGCTTATAAAGTTGACAGACCTAAGGTTCCACGATGGCAGTCACAAGGAAATGATTCAAGAGGTGAGATGTCAAATAATTTTAGTAGTAATAACCGGGATAATCGGCGTAGTAGTCAAGGACCGGGACCCAAGTGTTGGGCTTGTGGTCAGTACGGTCATATTAGGTTGGGTTGCAGAGCAGCATTTAACCAGAATCGTTCTTTAAACGTTCACAACCTCAGGCCAAGGGAAGCACCCTGGGGTACTCCACGCAGAGACTTTCCAGAGCGACGTTGAAATCGAATTTTGTAGTTGGTGAACCTAATGAAGCCAATGTTAAAGTTGAGGGAAATTGTTGTACTGCACTTTTAGATACTGGATCAACTGTGTCTACTGTAAGTGAAGAGTTATATAATTCTAAATTAAAACATTTACCTTTACAACCGCTTAAAACTATGTTGGATATAGAATGTGCTGATGGTAAACCATTGCCGTATAAAGGATATATTGAAGCAGATTTACAGTTTTCAGAATTGACAGATGAAACAATAACTTGTATTTTATTAGTAGTTCCGGTGAGTAGATATAATTCATTGGTTCCGGTTTTACTTGGAACAAATGTATTGACTCTTCTGATGAAACAATGTAAAGATGAACATGGGAAATCTTTTCTCCAAAAAGCGAAATTAACCACTTCTTGGTATTTATCTTTTCGTAGTATGGATTTATCAGAAAAAGAATTAGTCAAACGAGATTTCAGTTTAGGAATAGTGAAAAGTGCCTCAGTCAATAGGATACTAGTTCGTCCAAATTCTCGTATAACGTTACCATGTTATGTTGATAAAAAGTTACGATACCCGAAGGTGTCGGTGATGGTACACCCATGTCAACGTTCCAGTATTTCATCTGATTTAGATGTTTCTCCATCCATAATGATGTATGATTACAATAATACAGATTATATTTCAGTTAACGTTTCAAATGTGTCTACAAATACTATTGTTATTTCACCCAAAGCTATTGTGTGTGAACTACAGCCGGTAAATATTGAAGATAACGAAGTTACTTCAGATGGATCCAAGGCCTCGGTCTTAAATAAAGTAGAAATTGACGAAAGCGATTTATCAGAGGAAGAGATAATTCAAGGTAAGAACCTGTTGTTAAGTTTTGACGATATTTTCGCACATAATGATCTGGACTTGGGACATACATCCAGAGTACAACACAGAATTGAACTTATAGATGAACAACCGTTTAAGCAACGGCACCGCCGTATACCTCCATCGATGTTTACTGAAGTAAAAGATCATTTAAAGCAGTTGTTAGCATGTGGTGTTATAAGAAATTCACATAGTCCATGGGCATCAAACGTGGTACTTTGTCGTAGAAAGAACGGTAAATTACGCATGTGCACTGATTTCAGACAATTGAATAATAGAACGATCAAGGATTCGTACGCTCTTCCCAGAATTGATGAGTTATTGGATCATTTAGCAGGTAACAAATTTTATTCAAAGTTAGATATGAAGTCCGGATATTACCAGGTCGAAGTTGCCGAAGAACATAAGGAGCGTACCGCTTTCACAATTGGTCCGCTTGGTTTTTATGAGTATAACAGACTTCCTTTTGGTCTTTGTAATTCTCCCGCGACGTTTCAGAGGCTTTTAGAAGATTGCTTAGGAGATCTTCATTTGACGATATGTGTAGTGTATATTGATGATTTGATTATTTTTGCAGATTCATTCGAGGAGCATCTACAGCGCTTAAATAAGGTTTTAGAGCGTTTACGTCAGTGTAATTTAAAATTAGCACCTGATAAATGTAGTTTCTTTAAAAGACGTGTAAACTATGTTGGACATGTTATCTCCGAAGCGGGTATTGAACCAGATCCAGAGAAAATTGAGGTGATCCAAAAATGGCCACGCCCATTGAATTCTGTCGAGGTAAGAAAATTTCTTGGATTTGCTGGTTATTATCGTCGTTTTGTGAAAGATTTTTCGAAAATATCAAAACCTTTATCTATTTTGATGCCCACAACGGGTAAGAAAAATAAAAGTAATGTTTCCGTCAAGTGGAAGTGGGATATTGAGCAGGAAAATGCATTCTGTGAATTAAAGGATCATTTGTGTAGTTCTCCAATTCTTACAAGCTGTGACTATACGTTACCATTCGTTTTACATATTGACGCTTGTCAAACTGGTCTGGGTGCAGTTCTTTATCAAAAACGAGATAATTTATTGAAAGTTGTGGCTTACGCGAGCAGAAGTGTGAATAAATCGGAACAAAATTATTCTGCTCATAAATTGGAATTTTTAGGGTTAAAATGGGCCGTTACAGAAAAGTTTCATGATTATTTGTATGGGAACAAGTTTGTGGTGTATACCGACAATAATCCATTAACCTATATTTTGACTTCCGCTAAATTAGATGCAACAGGTCATAGATGGCTCGCCGCTCTTTCTGCGTATGATTTTGAAATAAAATACAGACCCGGGAAAAATAATTTGGACGCCGATTTATTGTCAAGATTACATAAAGAATCGGAATATATTTCACATGAACAGGTACATGTAATTTGTAATTCTATTCAGCCGAGTAATTATGCCGAATGTTTAAGTATATCACCAGAATTAGTGCCGGAGGTAAATTTAGGTCTAAATGGTATGACACCACGTGATTGGAGAAAGGAACAAGCAAAAGATGCCTCTATATTGTCTATTCTTAAATATTTAAGGTCGGGAATAAAGCCATTTGACAAGGAGTTCAACAAAGAGGTCCAAGTATTATGTCGTCGTTTAGAACACTTAAAGCTGAAACAGGGAGTTTTATATCGATCTGTGGAACATGAAGGGGAGATAATTGAACAACTCGTACTTCCAGGTCATTATAGGAAATTAGCATTTCAGGCTCTTCACGATGATCTTGGTCACATGGGTAGAGATAGAACTATGGTATTAATGAGGGAACGATTTTATTGGCCTGGTATGGCAAGTGATGTTGAACTTTGGATCAAGAATTGTGAACGTTGTTTGAGACGAAAATCTCCTACAAATATCCGAGCCCCTTTGGTGAATATAGAAACTACTCACCCCCTTGAAGTTGTTGCGATGGATTTTCTAACACTAGAACCATCTAAAGGTAATTATCAGTATATTCTAGTTATTACAGATCTGTTCACAAAATATGCTCAAGCAATACCTACACGGAATATGACAGCTCGCACAACGGCTGAAGTATTTTTCAATAATTTTATAGTTCATTATGGTTTACCAAGTCGGATACATTCTGATCAAGGAGCTAATTTTGAGAGTAAAATTATTAAAGAATTATGTAGTTTAGTAGGTATGGATAAATCCCGCACCACAGCTTATCACCCGATGGGTAATGGGCAGTGTGAAAGATTTAATCGGACACTTTTGAATATGCTGGGTACACTTACGCCGGAGAAGAAAAATGATTGGAAAATACAAGTAGCACCTCTTGTACATGCATATAATTGCACACGACATGAAACCACTGGATTTTCACCTTTCTATTTAATGTTTGGACGCCACCCTCGTCTTCCAATAGATTTAGCGTTTGGAGTGAGTCGAGAAGTGTCTAATGTGTCATTACATTCGTATGTAAAAGCGTTAAAGGAACGGTTACAACGTTCTTATGAATTAGCGATTAAATCATCAGAGAATTGTAAAGAAAAACAGAAGACAAAATATGATCGGAAAGTTAAAGGTATTCGTCTTGATATTGGTGATCGTGTTTTAGTACGTACTTTAGCGTTTCAGGGAAAACACAAATTAGCTGATCGATGGGAACCTGGCGTTTACATTGTTGAGGATCAACCTAATTTGGAAATTCCTGTTTTTGTGGTCAGACCAGAGTCTGGGCGTGGACGATCGCGTACTTTACATCGAAATAATTTGTTATCAATCAATAGCGTTGAACCCGTGTATTTTCCGACTCCAAAACCGAGAAAGCGAAAAATAGTAATTGAGTCTAAAGTAGCTGCGGAAAAATGTGTTGAATTAGATTCAAGTTCTGATGAAGAATTTAGTTATGTGGAAGCCAATGATCCTGTAAATGAGAATTACCCGGAGGTTATTCTTACGGGAGGAGGGGAAGGTGATCATGAAATTATCGAGGATATTGTTGAGGGGGATCACAATACCGAGATATTTCATGGGGCATCTAATGACGCATCTGTAAGTAATGAAAATACTGAGGTAAAATCAATTGAAGTTAATGTTTCAGGTGACGCCGTAGATAATAATCCAAGTCCTCTACCGGCAGATGTATCTATTGAAACAAGACCTCGCCGAACATGTAACCAACCTCAATGGATGCAGAGTGGTGATTTTGTTATGGCTCAAATTAATAATCCGTCAGATTGGTATGAGAAAGCTAACTATATTCATTCATTACATCTTTCAGGTTCTTTAAGCAAAATGGCTCCAGAGGTTAGTACGGCATTGTTGTCGTTAATTACTGGTAAGTAAATGACGGGACGTCATTTTTACGGTGGGGGGAAGTATGTAACAGGGTCATATTTTGGGACTCTGTCAATTAATGTTGGTGAAGAATGTCCTGATCAGTGTCTTGATTGTTGGAAGTTTTTAATAAGTGAGTTTATAGTTTTGGTTGTGAGATAATGTAAATTCATTAAAATGTTTTGGGGGATGGATTTTCAGTTGTATGGGTCTGGAATTGTATTGTCCGGATTATGGTGTTTTATTTTAGTGGTTGAAATGTCTTAGTTCTTATATGGGTTTACTTTTAATATTTTTTGGTATAGTTGAAAGGATAACTCGTTGGACTCTTTATAGTTCTGAAGGTGGTCTCTTTCTGAAATATTGTTTATCAGGTGATTAGTAATTCTTTGTCCTGGTTGGTTATTCAGAAGTTTAGCTGGGATAAAACTAAATTACACGCATGCATCAGTACCACATGTTACAGATTTAGTGAAGGTCAATACCGGCTCTTTTCCACAAATGGGTAAGCTATTTAATTTAACTTTCTTGTAATAGATGACTGCAAGTGGACTGTGAGTTTCATGAGTGTTTGATATATAATTATATATGTAATTCAAATACTGTAAGGTAAAAATTGTAGGATGTGTAGCCAATAGAACTGTTGGTTACGAATATATGGATAATGGCAACTATTGTATTTTCAGGGCCAACTTGTCGAGCATAAATGTATTTTGTGTTATAGTTATGTGTAGTACCAACAGAAATGGTGTTTAATGGTTATGGTGAATTGAAATACATCTAGATCGACCAACATCGACTACGCGCTTACGCGTTTCATTTAATTGTTTTAAACTGTATCATGTGTCGTTTGTGGATTATATAAACTTATTTAAACCTTATCGTGTTGTCAATCAAGAAATCTATTTTCCCGAACTAAGCAGGTTCAATCTATCAACTTTACCACACCATTGCAGGTGATGGAAAGGGTAGGTCTGCAATATTTATAGTTGTGCTCTCTGAGGAAGTAAGTTTTTACACTTACGGAACGTTAGATGCTATTAAAAATGGTTTTGTTAGCTATGACTTTATTTTGAATCATTCCTCCTACTGGTGTTACTGTATCAAGTTTATAATGACTTGAATCCCATCAAAGTTTATGTTATTCAAATGGTTTTGGATTCCTCTGTCGCTTTTTTTATTTGGATTCACATGAAAATACGAATTTGTATAGGTTCACTTATCATTCAGACCAGAATTTATGTCTGTAGAAAGAACTGTAGCACTACCACTGCCACATATCTTTGTTTTGGCCTGATCTAGATGTTGGTTTGTTTGACTCTGAACTGGCTACTGTGGTATCTCTCTTAAAGCAGAAATTTCAAATTTTAAGTTATATTTTTAAAAATTATTAAAATAAAGCCTTAAAATAGATGGTATCCATAAACAGTCCTACCTTGTTAAAGAATAATCCTATTAATCCTATAATTCACTATTGACAGCTGAGAAATTGGCAAAAATATCATTTTCAACTTTAAATTCCAACGTTGAGGAAATGGCTGACTATTGTTTTCAATAGGAAAACAAGGGAGGTAATTGTGTTGTTATTTCCTGTGTAAATGAGTTTTAAGTGTGAGAATGACACCTATGATCGTATAATAGTGAGTTGATAACCTATTGAGCAAAAGACATAGAAATAATTATGTTTTGACTTTCTTAGAAAATATGAAATTCTCGCTTTAAGGACTTCACCATTGTGTTTTCTCACAATACCGGGATTAAATATGTAACAGGAACAATGATATTTTTTTGCTATAGGTTTTATGTCACAACATTAACAATGGTATTATCACTGAATAGTGATACTAATTTTAATTTCTTTTTTAAATTTTATTTAAAGAATGCATAATTTATTTCTTAATTCTATATTCACATATACAGTGGACTCTGTCACATCCGACATGCGAATACTACAATATTTTGTGAAATCCGACATCATTTTCATGTCCCAATTTATTTCCTTATTACTTTAGGCAAAACAACTTTGAGTAATGCGTATTCTGAATATTCCGAATTATGACATCAATCAGCCATCCCGTCACACTTTTTCCATTGAATCAACACTGTATAATCTGACCTTCAAGCCACAGAATATTAACAAGCAATTATCAATCAATTATCAGTGAAATTAAAACTTGCTCGTGTAGGTCTTTGTTGATTACTTTTTGTGCGACCAGTGAGAAACTAAAACCTCTCTTTGTAATCTGTGTTTTAAAGGCATGGACAACAATAACCTGCCAGACAATTGGTCGACCAATCGTAACGCTTGGATGACAAGTGGTATTTATTTATTCTGATTGGCTCGACTCAGGAAACCACTACATCATAAAATGGTCGTCTACTAGTGTTGAAACTACTATTCAGATATAAAAATATTCTCACTTACTGATTGGTTCAATAGCAGTAGATTATCGGAATGAGTTAAACGACCTTGGCGGAATAAATGTGACATGTTTTTATTTTACTTTTTTCATTCTGTTGATTGAGCAAAATGATAAGTGGGAGGGCTGTGGATTACAGGAGTAGTTATACACAAATTTATTCACCTCACTGATTTTTATGGATATCATGCATAGTCTTAATAATTGTGGCTAAACGTAGGCATGTTTTTTCTTCGCGGCTCAAACAATTTACAAATCGAAAGTATGATTTCATACTCAGCATACACAGACACTAATAAACATTGAAATAAGTAAGAAATTATGAGTATATGAACTTTTGATGTAATTTTGTTCAAGAATTTCACGTTTCCAAATTATCCGAATAGTATTCGGATAGCAAACAGAGGTATTCGGATCACAAATCTCGATCCCATTTTCAACACTATCGTCTACAGAATACAATGTGTGCCTAAAAATATTCTAGTCCCGCTATCTCTTATAGGTGCCTACCCATAATTGATTTACGTCATAGACTGATAACAGCTAAATTCCAAATATGTGCACCATACCCGCATATCGGCAGGGATTGCTACTCAATTAATTTGGTCAACAAATATGATATATGTTTATGACAAAGAAAATGTAAATGACCCACATGTGAATCAAAATAACCTGTTTTACTTGCTAAATTTCTTGATTATGAATTTAGAATCAATAATTTGTAAAGACAACGATATTGTTTCAGCCACCATATTGTTACAGAACAAGTAAGGGTGGGTGGGCAGATTGACAGGACGACAAGAAAATATACAACCATATTTAGCAGACAGCTTAAATGATGACCAGCAGTCTTTATCTGACCCAATGTTGCGCAATTTTGATGTTAGGGAGAAGTTTAATGAACTTCAATAATTTTATCACAATAATACTATACCTATATGTTAGGCCAGGTAGTAATCCTTTAATATTACATTTGTCTTCTCCTTGTACATTCCAACAATGTTGAACACCTCTAACTGGTTGCCCTTTCTCTACTAAGTTACATTCAAAACTACAAAATAGATTAAATAAACAAACAAAAACTTAATTTTGCCAGGTTAAAATTATGCTTCACACACACCCAAATTGAAATAAATATGTTAAAAATTGTAACATCTATCATGTTAACAAGGTATCTGACAAAGGGAAGGTAACTCCAGAATAGAACATTACAAAGTGCCCAATATCGATAGGGTTTACTAGTCTGATTCAGTTTGTTACATAATTCCCATCCGTCGGCTTTTTGGGTAGAAATCGTGGAATAAGCTTTATTTTGAAGGTTTTGATGTTTAATGACAATAAACCAATGTTGACAGTTTTTTCTGAGTAGGTCTTAATGGTATGGGAGGTCATTATTTGAGGGTAGGTACTATTCCAACTTATTATTTTGTTTTCACCTTATTTATAATGTAATCGACATATCAACTGTGATTTAAAAATCGGATGATGTGCTGATTCTGATTAGTTCGTAGTGTTTGGGGTCAATATCTATGTTTTCAGGGGCACAGATTCCATTTCTACCAGTTAAGACTGTGTAAAATGATGACATGTTCACCTAATTTGTACATTTCCAGGATGGTGGCCATTTTTGGCGGGGAAATGGGACGGTGTGCTGATATTGATTAAGTAGTCGTCTTTGGTGTCAATATATATGTTATCAACGGCACAGATTCCATTTCTGTCAGTTACAACATGTAAGATGATCACCAGTTCACCTATTTTGCATATCTCCAAGATGGCAGCTATTTTTGGCATGAAAATGTGATGATGTGCTGATGATTAAGTAGTCGTCTATGGTTTCAGAATATATGTTTTTGAGCCACAGATTCCATTTCTGCCATTAAGAATTATGTAAAATGATCACATGTTAACATATTTAGAATATTTCTAATATGGCTGCAAATTGTGGCGGGACGTTTCCTAAACACATTACTGAAAAGGTTTCTGAATCCAATTCTGCTATGTATAAGCTTGTAGCATGTTCCTGGAGCCCAATGCCGTGTTTTACCGATTACACATATTATCCAACATAGATTATATATATTACACTATTCGTGTACAAGCGGCAGCCATTTTGTCTGGCAGTTTTAGTCCGATTTTCACGAAATTTCAAACTCAACCTTCCTTACAGTGTAACAGTGATATAATCAAACGGTTTTTTAAATCGGATAATAATTGTGGCCTTCAGAGGGACCACAAACTAAAATAGGCAATTTTTAGTATAATCAGGGGTCATAATTCAGGAAGTTACGATTCGATATGTACGAAAATCAAAAGGAACCAAGATATTTGGGTTATATTTCCGTTATGAGCAAATATCGACAGGAAACAAGATCTTTGAGTTATAAACATGCATTTCAAGTTTCATCAAAATCGGATTAAAATTGTGACCTCGACAGGGTTCACAACCTTGATATACCATATTTTTTTACTATTCGCGCACAAGCGAAGGCCATTTAGTCCGGTAGTTTTAGTCTGATTTTCATGAAATTCGAACTCAACCTTTATTACGGTGTAACTGTGACAAAATCAAATGGTGTTTAATATCGAATAATAATTGTGACCTCCAAAGGGACAACAAGCTAAAAAAGGCGATTTTTCTTACAATCAGGGGCCATAATTCAGGAAGTTACGATCTGATATGCACAAATATCGAAAGGAACCAAGATGTTTTGGTTATAAACATGCATTTCAAGTTTGATCAAAATCGGATTAAAATTGTGACCTCTACAGGGTCCACATCCTTGATATACCATATTTTTTTTACACTATTCGCTTACAAGTGGCAGCCATTTTGTCTAGCAATTTTGGTCCGATTTTCAAACTCAACTTTCATGCCGGTCTACCGGTGATATAATCAAACAGTTTGTTAAATCTGATATTATTTGTGACATACAGAGGGTCCACAAGCTAAAAACGTGACTTTTTATACAATCATAATCCATGAAGTTATGGTCTGATATATGCCAATATCAAAAGGAACAAGATCTTTGGGAGGTAGACCTATCTTTTAAGTTTCGTCAAATTGTGACCTGTAGAGTATCCACAAAGAAATTGGGGATCGACAGACAGGGTTGACGGCGATATACGTCCACATGAAAATGTGGGCATATAAAAATGGTTATCTGAATAATGAAACACAAATCAACTTCACTCGCAATTTAATTAAATTAAAGGTCTTGGGTCTTACCTTATATCACTGTTGACCTCCTTGGAAAATTTCACACCAACCACATTAACCACATATAAAAGTAGTTTATATTTGGGGTCTGGACTCTCAGGTAACTCCCACATCACTTGAACTCCCTTTTTCCCTCGTGATTCCACCATTATGGATGGTGCTGGTAAAATACCATCTCCATCACCCATTATAAACTAACAGATAAGATAAATACTGCTGGTTTAGTTATTTAAGATAAAGG